AAATCTATCAGGTCACTCAGCATATTAATAGGATAAAGAATAAAAAATATAATCAGTACATGTAAAAATTATACTCTAGGCCCAATCCAGTGCATTAAGGCAAGAAAATGAAATAAAAGGCATAAAGATTCGAATAGATTGTCTCTATTTCAGGACAACATGACTGTTCATCAAAAAAAATCCTGAGCATCTGTAAAACAATTAGAATATGGGAATTTAGGCTGGGTGTGTAATTCCAGCACTTTGGGAGGTTGTGGCATGTGGATCACTTGAGCCCAGGAGTTGGAGACCAACCTGGGCAACATGGCAAAACCCTGTGTCTACAAAAAATACAACTAGCTAGACATGACAGTGTGCACCTGTAGTTTCAGCTACTCAGGGTGCTGAGGTGGAAGGATCGCTTGAGCCCAGGAGGTGGAGGTTTCAGTGAGCCAAGATTGAGCCACTGCTCTCCAGCCTGGACGACAGAACCAGACTCTGTCTCAAAAAAAAAAAAGAAAAAAAAAAAGAAAGAAAAAAATATGGGTATTTAGAAAGGTCACAGAATACAAAGTTAATATACAAATATCAATGGAATTTTCAAAAGTTTAATTAACAATAGTGTCAAAACCATAAATTACTCAGGAATCAATTTAGTAAAGTACATGCAGGACCTTACACTTAAAAGTACAAGACATAGCTGGGAGAAATTAAAGACATAAATAAATTGAGGGATATACCATGTTCAAAAATTGTAAAATTCAATATGGTTTAATATTCAGTTATCCCTCAATTGATCTATAGATTCAACATAACACCATTCATAAGTCCAGCAGGTTTCTCTGTGGAGATTAACAATTGAGGCAAAAATTTACATGAAAAAGTAAGTAAGTTAGCATATTGGAAGAACTCTTATAAAAAACATCAAATGTGTTCATGACTATACAGTTACAGTAATCAAGTCAGTATGATACTGGCACAGGATTGACAGATCAACAAAACAAAACAGAAAATCCATAAATACACTACAGATACAAATCATACCAAAAATTATTTTGAGATAGATCATAGATGTAAATGTAAGGACTAAACAATAAGGCTTTTGGAAGAAAACATAAAAAAATATTTTCTTAAGTTGAGGTAGGCAAAGAGTTCTTAGGACACAGAACACAATGACCAGAAAGAAAAATTATTTAAAAATTGGAATTAAAAACAGAAAAATTAAAAGCTTATATGCATAAAACCACCATTTAAAAAGCAATGGGAAAGCCACAAGATGTGACAAAACATTTGTAAAACTTATAAATGACTACCACTTGAGAAGGTAAACAACTCAATTAAAAATAGGCAAAAGATTTGAATAGACAGTACAAAAGGAGATATATAATGGCCAATAAATATACCAAAACATGCTTAACATTATCATTAGAAAATGGAAATGGAAATTTCATTGAAATACCACTCTACTCCCTCCAGAAGAAGACTGAAAAAACCAAATATTGACAGAGATGTGCAGCAAATAGAACCCTCAGACATTGTCAGTGGGAGTTAAATATGCTACAATCACTTTGGAAAAACATCTGGCAGTTTCTTTAAAAACTAAACTAAATTCACATCTAATCTATTGCCCAGCAATTCTACTCCTAAGTATTTACCCAAGTAAAATGAAAACATATGCCCACAAAATGACAGTACACAAAAGTTCATAGCAGTTTACTCATAATAGCTAAAAACTAGAAACAACCCAGGTGTCCATCACAGCAGAATGGAAAAACTGGTTATTATTATGGAATACTGCTCAGCAGTAAAAAAGAATAAACTCCTTTTTTTTTTTTTTTTTAAAGAGAACTCCTAGACCCAAGTGATTCTCCTGCCTTAGCCTCGCAAGTAGCTGGGCTTACAGGTATCTGCCACTGCGCTTGGCTAGAGTGAGCCACTTCTATGTACAACAATGTAGATAGATCTCAGAAACATTAGGTTTAAAGAAGATTTACAACACGGTATTGTATACAATAGGTTCTGGAACAGGCAAAACTAAACTACGGTGAGAAAAAAAATCAGAATGATGCTTGTCTCTTAGGAGAAGTAAGGAGAGGCAACTATTGACTGCAAAGGACTATAAGGACTTTTACGGACCGAATGTTTGTGTCCCTCCAAAACCCATATGTTGAAATCCTAATCCCCAATTTGAAGATGAGGCCTTTGGAAGGTAACTAGGTCATGACAGTGGAGCCCTCCGAATGGGAGTAGTAGCCTTATAAGAAGGATCCCAGACAGCTCTTTTCCCCACTTTTTCTGCCATGTGAGGATACAATGAGAAAACAACAGTTCACAACCCAGAAGAGGGCCCTCACCAGACTCTAACCTTGCTGACACCTCGATCTCAGATTTCCAGCCTCCAGTACTGAGGAATAATTTTATATTTTAAGATCTCCAGTCTATGGTAACTTGTAATCACAGTCCAAATTGACTAAGGCAAAGACTAGAAGAATTTTGGAGGTAAAGTCAATGTTCCATATTGCAATAGGATTTTTAAAGTGTGCGTATTGGTCAAAAACCAGAGAAAGCATAGTTAAAATTTTGCATGTTACTGTGTATAATCTTGCCTTAAGAGAAAAAAGTAAACAAATAACTGAACTGTCAATAATGTTACCATGCTGAAGTACTTAGAGGAAAGTACATTAATGACTGCTACTTAAATTGAAATACATCAAAAAATAAGATGGATTAATAAATGGATAGAAGAATAGACATGTATGAAGAAAGTATAGTAAAATGTTAATGGTAGAATCTTGGTGGTAAATACAAAGTTGTCACTGTAAAATTCTTTTAATATAAGATACTGGAAAAGCAAGCAAACAGTAAACTTATCTTAAGAGTATATTTCCTTTTTTTTAAATTTTGAGATGGAGTCTCACTCTGTCGCCTAGGTTGGAGTGCAGTGGCGTGATCTTGGCTCTCTGCAACCTCCGCCTCCTGGGTTCAAGTGATTCTCCTGCCTTAGCTTCCCAAATAGCTGGGTCTACAGGTGCACGCCACCACACCTAGCTACTTTTTGTATTTTTAGTAGAGATGGTGTTTTGCCGTGTTGCCCAGGCTAGTCTTGAACTCCTGACCTCGGCCTCCCAAAGTGCTGGGATTACAGGCATGAGCCATTATGCCTGGCCTCCAAGAGAAATTTTCAATAAAATGTAATTTATATTTTGGGAGTGTAAAATACATCTGCTTATTGAACAATCAGTGCTTGATACATGCCCAAATTAAAGAGCAAAAATGTTTCCTAACTCTGAAAAAGAATAACAATAATCTTGGCCTTTGACTAAGCAAGGACACAGTTTCCTGATTTATATTCTTATAACTTGTTTTAGGGTGATAATTGCAAACATTTAAAGATTATAATGTAACTTACATATACCCCAAGGAAGCCTCAAGCAGAACTCAAAAAATACTACATGGTTTTGATATCCAGATATCCTTTCTAGGAATTTTATACCTGTTAAACATAATTAGGTTTTAAAAAATGATTTCTGATCATTTGTACTAATATATAAACCTTATTACAGGGCAAATAAGCCATGAGACCTTTATAGTACTATAAGCATTTCCCTGCTTTTATTGGCAGACACTAATTTTAACTAGTATGTACATGAATGTATGCGTGTTTTTGTTTTTATGTATTTGTATATTCTTTGATATTTGCAAAGTGCTCAAGCATGAATGCTCTGTCAGGTTATACATTACCTCCAGTATAGGGTTTCCAGTTATAATACTTTCCTCGGAAAGGCATATTGTCAAAGTCTGCACACTGTTTCTCTCGAAAATCTCGGGAACCCAAAGGGCATGGCTAAAATAAAATAAAATAATAAATGGTACCATTGTTGGAAAATACCAAAAGCAAGGGACAATGTCCCTAAAATGAACTCCATCAAATTAACTCACTACCTTATCCTGTGGTTATAACTCTGGCATTTGCTTTTCTGTATTACAATCAGTATTCAGAGTGAAATGTGTGAGCTGTAATCTTAGCTATACAAGATCTAACTTAGGTAATTTAAACAAAGTGGTATGCTGTTTCCCTATAAATTTATGGTTGGATACATGTCATAATCCTCTTTGTAGTCCATCAGGTGTCTCCTTATAAAGACACAGAAAACCTAGATGAAGAAATTAAAACACAAAATCCTTTGGGGTAACAGTATTTGAGGTCCAGTTGCCATAGCTACTCCCTGATCTTTATTTTAAAAAATCAAGAAGCAGGCTTGTAACATGACATTCAGCCCTATTAATTGTGGTTTGGACTCCTACTACTATAGCAATTTACTGTTTAGCCTTGACAAAAACCATATTTTAAATGAGGAATAAAGCAGGCAAAATACTAGACCTCAACTATAAACATCTTGAAATTCAAGGGATTTGGACTTACTAAGATTTACATTTAATTTATTAACATCCCAGAAAATAAAATACAAAATGGCCCAAAACATGGACATTTGTATGAGGTATGGAGAGGGATGTTAAGAGGGTGAAAAAAGGATTATCTGTTTTAAAAGCTGGAAATGTTCCTTCTATTCAGAAACGCTTCTGAAGTTTTTTAAAGAGAAAAATCTTGCCAATCCAGCTAGCTCTAGATTCTGTATACCACAGGGTCATCCTAAACTCAACCTTTAAGTTCACAAAGAATTATAAAGCTCATTGTGTTTGAGTGATATGACTTAATTTGACTTATCTTTTAAAGTTCAACAGCTGTAGTACTTAAAAACTAAAAAATATTGATTTTGAAAGACTGAGAAAACATTCTCCTTAAATACGGAAGAAAAGAATATGTCACTAGAGAAAATTCTGAATTGGGAATAAATGACAAGTGTGTTACAGTCACACTCAGAGATTGTTTTGAGGACTTTTTACTATCCTCCCTTAGATCTCTGTGTTTGCTTTATATAGTTTTCTGAGGACAGTACATTGCAAATGGTCACTCTGAAGCATATGCAGTAATAACAGACCACAATGTGCAAATATTTGCATGGTCATCATTGCTTCCTATATACTACAGTTCAATTTTCACCACATCAAGTCCAAAGCCTCCGATTCTGAAAATAGTGGCAGCAGGTCCACACTCTGTTATGAGCCCTGCATTTTAAAGTGTTTTCAGCACATTAAAATATGACATTCCAATGCCAAATCTAGTGATTAATATTGTCAAATTACCTTCTTGCTTGCCTTTAAAAAAAAAAAAGGAAAAATATTTACCATAGGCTAAAAGGTGTATCAGGTTGGAAGGATATGGTTTCAGGGTCTTTTGTTTCCTGGTCAGCTAATCTTTGCATCTTCAGAGTGCTCACGGTTAAAGGAATCCTTTACTTTTCAAGCGATTTTTAGTGAATCCCACACAAGGACTTAAGTTGTTAGTGGGTTTTGTCATGCAGCAAGACTACTTTTAAAAGCAAATAACGATTTCAAAAACAAACAATTTGAACTCTAGCTATAAGTTTTCATGCAGCACTTAAGTATTTGTAAAACACCAATCCATGGTGAACCATGCTGAAGTTCATTTGGATGAACCATGCTGAAGTTCATCCAAGCATGACTTTCAACTTTGTTGGAGAAACAAGACACAAATGGAAAAACGACCATGAGAAAAGAACCATCTTGAGCAATACATATAGTACATGACAGCATGTTACAGACTGTCTATATGTGCTGGATACAAGTGAAATATAAATGTGTCCTATGATTAGCTAGGGATATATCAGTTAAGAAAAAAATCTTGAGCATGTACCGAAGTATGACAGAAATTGTTCTAGTTAAGAAAGAAAAAGGACTTGTCAGGGAGCGGGAGATTATTAAGAATGAAGCCAAGAAAAGCCATGGGAATAGGAAGGAAAAGGTCACATATTGGGAATGGTTGGAAAAAGCCCAACCTAGATGAAAGAGATGAACTATATAGAAGCATAAGAGGAAATGATGTTTCACATGTATAAGCACTGGTACATTAAAAAGACCTTGAATTAAGAAACTACGACATCATGAGGGCCGTTCGCTTAAAGGCAAACAAAACAAAAATGCAATATTTTAGTATCTTCTAACAATTCTCCTAAATAGAAGAAAAGTAAAATGTCCAATATGAGGATATTACTATTTAATGAAGCACTTGATAATGTTTCATGACATTTTTGATCTACTTTTTTCCTGTGATAACCACTCTCAGGGTGAGCATAATAAAAAGATTAACAATAACAATAGCGAGCTAGTATTTACTAAGTACTTATTATGTGGCACACTGTTCCGGGATCTTTAGATATATTATCTATATACTCCTTCTCAACACTCTTTTGAGGTAGCTATAATTAATAATCCCATTTTACAATGAAGTAAACTGGGGTACAGAAAGGTTGCTCAGTAATAGTTTCAGCGTATAAGGATACTTTCACCATAAGTGTGGGAGTCTCCTCTGGACACTCTCCAAATGCTACAATAATAGCATTACAGGTTGTAGCTTCCTTAAAATGTACAAAAACCTAATAGGAACAATTTGGGTTCTAGACTTGGCCCTGTCATTAACCAGATGCAAGTTTCTTATCTTTCCATATTACTTTTTTTTTCTCATTTGTAAAATAAGAGGGATAGAAGCAAGAGTTTTGGAGTAAGGCAGACCTGGATTATTTCTAACTTGGTCATTTATTTAATTCATGGCCTTGAGCAATTTACTTGTTTAAGCCTCATCTACAAACTGGGGGTAATACTAGTATTTACCTCCTAGGCAACATATTCATGCAAACTGTTTAGCTCTGTACCTGGCCTAAGGTAGCACTTAATAATCATTAGCAGCTATGCAGGGGTCCTGACACTCATTCCTTACCCTTCTGCTCTGCTCTGTATTTTAGGGGAACAAACCCTGAAAGCTCCATTTCCCAGGCTTTTTTGTCAGCTGACTTATGGTTGGGTTCAGGTAATGGGAGGCACTAGTTGGAGAAGCTAGAGTATTTTTCTCCTTTCCTCTGTGCCTTGGGCAGCATCTCAGCAGAAGGAGAATCTTTTTTGTAGCTCCACCTTCAGGTAACAGTTCCATCCTCCCTACCCTTCTATTCTATGATTCCAGCTTCTGCTGTGTGATTCTAACCTCTGGGCTCTGACAAACCTACCTCCTACGTATCTTCCTGGAAGAAACTAGTCAGACTCTCATCATCCATGTAATCAATTTCCTGCATTAAATTCCCTCTATTTTAATATTCAGACTGGTCTATTATGTTATAGTTAAATCTTAATTGATACAACAGTTATCATCATCATCATCATCATCATCATCATGAACGACTTGGAAAACTGAATAAGATAAGTTTCCACACAATATTTTTTCACTTTAGGGCAGAAGTTGTCAAACTTTTACTGTAAAGGTCCACACAGCGAATATTTTAGGCTTTGCAGGCCATGTGTCTCTGTTGCAACTACTCAACTGTGCATTATAGTGTGAGAGAAGCCATAGACAATATGTAAACAAATGGCCATGGCTGTGTTCCAATAAAAATACTTAAAAAAGAGTTAACCAATACAATTTGGCCTGAGAGGTACAATTTGTCAACTCCTGGTGTAGGGTGTTAACATAACATAGATATATCTGTTTGGCAGCATTTCACGGAAGAACTCAACTCAACTATTAATTTCTCAGTCAATATAGAATCATACCTTGTAAGAACTCATGTTAGAAGTGATATAATCTAATTTGCATAAGATGCTTGGATTTCCTCTATAATTATCCCCAAAGTGGTCATACAATCTATATAAACATCTACAGAAAAAAAGATCAAACACTTTTCAAACAGCTGCAATTATTAGCAGGTTCTTCCTTACTTTCAGTCAAAACCTGCCTTCCTATAACCCAATTATCTTTCTCCTTTCTTCTGGATCCACACTGAACAAATCTTACCTTAAAGTGAAAGGTATCTGGACCTTGATGGCTTTCCTAGGGGCACATCATAACTTATTGTTAGTCCTCTTAAAACAAGGCAGCAAGACTGGGCCTTAAGTATCTTTCTTTACATTTTAGCAAGTATTTATAAAATGCTTAATATGTGGCAGATACAATCTAGGCTGCAGGGTTACAGAAAAACAAAACCCAAACAGATTAGAGTTCTGGTTTCATAGAGTTTACTCTAGTTGGAGATGAGAAAGAAGAAAAATAAAGCAAGATAAGGAGATTGACAGTGAGGTGGGAGGGAAGTTGTTTTAAATACTATGATCAGAGAAATCCTCTCTGATAAGGTGGCGTTCAAGCGGAGAGTGAAAAGAAACTGAAGGAATGATTTATGTACATATCCGTGAAAAGAATCTTCCAGAACACAGTAAATCCAAAGGCCCTGAGGCAGGAGTGTATTCAGGGTGTTCACAGAATAGTATAGAGAATGGAAAGGTTTCAGGGAATTGAAGTAGACTTGGGGACTTGATTCCATGCCATTTTTTCTAGAATACATCAGCCAGCATTCTGCTTTCCTGATCTCATTCCATCAGGGAATGCTCTGAATTTGCGTTGATTAAAAATAGGCTCAGTTGCAATTATATATGCTGGTTTGAAAAAATGAGAGCGAAAGAGGATTTCCTTAAGGAAAAATTACGTAAAATACATTTTTGTTTTGTTTAGGAATAGTAGAGAGTTTAAAGAATAATGGTATTGAAATTACTTAAGGATAATAAATGCTGACACTATGCAGAAACTATAACAGAAAGCAGTAATTAAAAAAGCATAAGCAACAGATAATTAAAGTAAAAGCCTGACAGATTTTCAGCCTTCTAGTGCTAACACTCATCAAGCATCTTCTCCTTTAAAAAACAAACTAATAGGGCCCTACATAA